TTTCCCTATTTATATTTTAATCCTGTGTTTTTGAGATGGGGCTGTTTCTTCAAGTCTGGTATTTTACTGCCTAACTCGCCCATGATTTTTCTTTTTCTTTTTGGGGGGAGGGTGGGGTAATTAGACTCATTCCTTTGAGGTTTAGCAATATTATTGTTACCCCTTCCATTTTTTTACCTTAACCTTCCTCAACTCATATAACCTAAGAAATCATGGGGTCTATGTTAATGGAAAGGGTGCACGGTGTTATATTGTCATATAAATTTAGGGAGGTCTAAGTAACAATGGAAAGGTTTGTTTTTGGTAGCAATGTTGTTAAGAAACATATTTTCTTTTCCAGATTTTGTGAAATTATATTATTATAATCATCATAATTATCACTGTGATACTTACTTTTGATCAAGCTTTTTCAATATTTTGGCATTAAATTTGGGCTTTATTTGTGCAGATTCTCCGCCGGTCTGAAGAATCATTTTGTTTCAGCAATGGCAGGTCCTTTATTTCTAATTCAGTAGCATACTTGATGTGCTTCTTTTTTGCCATAGTTTTTTCTCCCCCTAATTATCATATTTGGGCTTTCACAATTCTTTCTTCCTGGGATGATAAATATCTGCATGTTGCTGATCTTATATTTTTGGTTTTCAAATTGTAATCTATCGTGTATGCAACTTCTGTTTTACTTTGGTGCTAAATTGGTATTTTCCAAGCTGGTTTCATTGTCCAAATTATACATGATAAAATCTTCTCCTACTGACAAACATTTTGGTGTGTGACATTAAAAAACTGTGACTAATTTTTATAAACTGTGCAGCATTGGGAATTTCTTTTTTGCAGGAGCACGTATATTTTTTCAGTCCTTGGATGCTGCAATATTTTTATTTTCACGGGTTTCAGATATTCCCCCTGAAAGCCTGGTTCTTCCTGTGATTTCAACCAATGACAGACTTACATTAGGGTGTGAGTTGTGGGTATGCTATAAATCTATTCAACTGTATACTTATGGTTTCATTGATGTTTATTACTATGCTGAGGGAAAATTTATTTGTTCCTGTCAAAAGAGCTTCCATTAGGAATTCACAAAAAAAATATTAACATGTTATTTTAATAGTTATTACAACAGCTTATTTTTTTTCCCTTATATCTACATAGGATGGAACTATTATAAGGGGACAAAATGAAATTTCCCATCCAACCAGCGGAACAATGGAGCTTATTAAGAAGGTATGCCTGTGTATTTGTTGTGACAATAGTGTCTACTCCAATGACAATTTGTTTAAATTTTCACGGATGTGAAAGGAACTTGCCTGAGACAAAAGGTTCTATATTCTTTCTTGTTCTTTAAGGGGAACCAACAGTTAAAGTAAATTAGTAATGGTTTTTGGTTAATGGTTAGTAATGACCTAGAGTGTATGCTGATGTTGCATTGATGTTGGGTTGGCATTTAGAAATATTTAACTGTTTGGTGCTAATTGAGTTTGAAATAGACTAGCTCTTAGACGAATTTAGAAACAATAAATTTTCAGAATAAGTTTATTCCTTTGATTTTGCCTGTTATTTTATAAGTTTTGATGAAGGAATTTTACCTTCCAACATAATGATGGATATTAATTTTAAATTGAAATAGAGAAATTATTAGTTTATTCCTTTGATTTTGCTTGTTATTTTATAAACTTTGGTGAGTGAATTTTACCTTCCAAAGTAATGATGGGTATTGATTTTAAATTGAAATATAGAAATCATTTTCTCATTCCCACTCCCTAATTAGTATAACACAATAGTGATTGGTATGGCCACGTAGAGGAAGTAAAGTCTATGCAGTTTGTTCATTCACTTGATTGAGATTTTACAATATGCTACTTATTCTTGGTCTCTCTCTCTCTCTCTCTCTTTCTCTCTCTATATATATATGTATGTATATATATATATATATACACACACAAACACACATACATACATACACACACACACACATGTATGTGTGTATATAGTGTGACTTTCAAAAGTTATATGATCACTTAAAAAGGTCATGTGACTTTTTAAAAAACTTACATGACATCATGACCTATATTTTAATATTAACCATTCATGATAAAATCTAATGGTCTTGATTTACTCTTCTTTAATGTAAAGCCCTCACACTAGATGCATAACCTATATATATTGTTTCTTCTGCTAAAATTTTATATTTCATGGGTAGGAAAGCTTTTCAGCTCCAGCACTTCCTTCGAAAATAAAACGGGTGTTCTACATGTCAAGTGAGGGAAAAAATTTGCTGCATGAGGTAAGTACTGTGCCTTGTCAGACCTACTTATTTCACATTCTGTTGAAGTACATTTGTTGTATGTCTCTCACATCATGTTATGCATTGCCATCTATAATAGGTAGAAGAGATGCGTTATATTGAAGATGCAACCAGAGACAACATTTATTAATTATTTTTATTGTAGATGAATTTTGTAGTAAGAAACAAGGGAAAGTTATCCAATAATTGGCAGATATGTTTTCTGTCTTTCTTCAAAGCATTTAACATAATATTAGATTAAAAAATGTGTTTTGCCTTGTTGATGTAAGAATAAAGAAGCCATATGAGACAGAGGATAAGACATGTTCTGTTGACAGATAAGAAACTGTGAAAACAAATAACAAATGTCAATCAACTAAAAAACTTCTTTCTAATTGAATATCAATTAGAGAATGTGGATGAGACTTGAGAGCCATTTTTATGTTAATGATACAAGCACTGTCCAACTCCCCTTGTTTGCTCTGTACTAGAATACTAGATTTATTATATTTGTACTATAAGTAACAAGGCTCCATTTTTTTAGTGTACTTGAGGTTCAAACATGAACTGGGGGGAGGGGGAAACACTTGTTACCAAGTGGGTGGCCACCAGGCCAATGGCCTGATGGCTTATATCATGGAGCTAAATACAACTAATTCTACAAGGATAGTAGTAAGCAACATCTTGTATTTTAAAGGTGGGTGCTGTTTTTATTTGTTTTCTTCTGTTATGATAGTATTAATACTGAGTAGCTTTTACATTTGCTCATCTTACCATAGGAAATCTAAATATGAATTTGGCTATTTAGTTCCAAATTTATGAACAATTTATAACTGGAACTTCTTTTTCTCGTTTAAGTAGGTCTTTCCCTCAGCTAATGCTGCTGTATTAGAGCAGTTAAATAATGTGGACTGCGTTGTGTATGGCATGGGCTCCCTTTTTACTTCAATCTGCCCCTCACTGGTAAACATTCTTACCAATAGTTTTGTTGATGTTTGTGATCACATATGGTAGTATTGACCTTTGCAATTGATAACATTGATGGTTATATATATTTGAAAACTGTGATATTTAAAACATTTGAGCAGTTGAGGTTTAGATGCTTGGCCTCTATTCTGTCAATAGTGTGAATGCATTGAGATTGTGTCTAAAATGTGGTAAACTTGATTGTTCAACTCTTTCAATATTTCTGGAGTCATTTTTACTTGATTAATATGTAATTTGTTGGAACAACATGCTTTATTCATTCTTTATGACAATTTGGTTCTCGCATTAGATGTTTACTGACTCAAATTATTCTAGGTGTTACTGGGAATTGGGGAGATTATTTCTTCTAGGTCCTGCCTCAAGGTATTTCCTTGTCATGGTACTTTTTTTTTGTATTTTCTTTGGTTATTTGGGGAATGTATAATAGACTTTCTACCATGTGAGAATAGAGAAATATAGACTTGACAAGATTATTTGTTTTTCGCAAGTTATGAAGTGGTCCATCTTAGCATGACTGCTGCACATTGAGGCAAAATGGACCAGAAGCTGATGTCTTTTAATATGGACACAAATCTCTGCTCCCATAACCTCTTGCATTCTGGTCCTATCACTGCATTAGGGTGCTGACGTCAACAAATTGGAAAATATTTAGTGAAAAATAAAGGCATGCGACTTGTTGATGGCAGCATCTTGGTGTTATTAAGTGGAAATTAATCTTTTCTGGCTTAGTTGCAAAGTATTTGTCAAGCTCTTCCATGAATGAGATTCAGACTGTTCTATCAGTTATTTTGGTGGTGTCACATTTGATTAGATTTGGCAAGCTCTCAAACATTGAAAGCTATACTTTTTCAGCTTGATTTTTACTAATATGATTTTAAAAAATGTAGGTACTTATGTTAAATGGCACACGGGACCGGGAAACAAATGATTTTTCAGCTTCTTGTTTTGTAACTGCCATTACGGATGCTCTAAATCGAACATATGGAGAACCTAGCAATCACTTACAGAATCCTGTGAGTGAGAATTCCTTCTCTATTGAAATTACTCGGTATCAAATAAAAAGCTACTTCTCTATCAATTCTTGTTCAAAATAAAGCATTTGATTCACATTACTCTCTAAAGAAAGACAGCAAGTATTATAGTTTGAGTGCCAACTTCTTATCCTGTTGAAAGTGGTACAAATGATTGATTGGTCTAATTGATAAATTTTACTTTCTTCCTCTTTTCAGCTGAAAATATCTCATCAATGCGTAGTTTACATGTACTATAATTAATATATTTATTTTGGTAACTCTACGAATTACTTATTTCCTTAGTGCCAAATCTAATTGAGAATCACATTTCTTTAAAAGAAAATTAGACAAATTTTATGCATTTTCTCGTCAGAATTAGTTGTTTGAAGTGAAGTCAGTGTACCTTCTTTGTTGTTTTTGTTTCTTAGTATTTTAATTTTTTATTATTACTATTGGGTTTTCTGAGAAACCTCACATAAAAATCTAGAATTTAGGGATTCTGATTAGCTTAGTTCAATCACTCTAATTTCATTAATTTCAACTTTTCAGTTTTAACATGTGTCCCTTGTCTCTTCCAATCTTGTCACATAATTAACGTAATCCCAAGAAAAAAGCTATCTTATCTGTTTCATCCTTGTTTTCTAAATATTTTCCTTTGATACGTGAAATACTTGGTATGTGAAATGTTCCATCAACTTGCATACAATTATCATATAAAATGAAAACCAAAAAGCACAGTACACAATCAATAATGTAATAAAAGTAATTTACGTGCTGTTTATATTTGATGCAGCCAAGCCACTATATCAATACCCTTTTGGTGCCAAGAGATGGTGAAATTCCAGTCGATATTGACTGTTTGGCTGCCCAAGGAATATTTGACGTGGTATGTCTCTCAAATCTGTTCATTATGCGCAATGTATTGAGTGGATAGAATCTCTTCTATTTAGCATAATGAAGATATATTCCAAGATTATTTCTTTGAAATTTTCTGTGGTCCAGTTCATGAATAGATCTGGGACTTTGTAGAACTTGTTTAAACAGTCAATCATATGTTACCACATCATTGTAGGAGCTTTGACTTCTCTTTACATTGTTATTATAACCAGTCTTTTTTATGATGTGGCAATATGTAATTATATTTTAAACATATTAAGTTTATACATTAAGTGGGTCAAATTTAAACTGTTTAAAGGGTTATTCTGACAACATTAGTCTTTGGAGTGGCATTGTAAGATTGGCATACTCAAAAGTCAGACTTTGTTCGCGTTCATATACCAGGGAATTATAGCAGTTTACCAGTGTATTGGTATCAGTGTGGAGACATGAATCATATCCTTGATACTGTTACGGATTAGTGATTTAACTCGGGAACATATTCACGACGGATGTCTATTCTTATTTTGGTTCTGGATCCATGATTTACTTTGTGATTGTCCTACAATTCTTAAATTTGCAGATAGTTGTTGACTCTCTACGAGATCCTAAAGTGGGTATAATTTATGACCCGAGGTCACTGATAAGATCTCTAGCCGACTTAATAGACAGATACATAAAGTCGCGAGAAATTGACTTAATTGATACTAGACGATAATGATTAACGAGAAGAGCCAGTGAAACTACCATCATTTGACTGTATATCCTACTTTTGCTGTCAGTTCTTCACAAGGTATGAACTTTTTCTTTTTTCATCACCAACAGCAACTATTTAATCGTCTGTAGTCCACTTTTCATACTGATTATACATTAGGAATTCTAGATCGTGAATTGGCCTGTTGGTGCGAAATCTTATGTGGGAAGTTCAAATTTTCCCTTACCAGGTTCCTGTTTATTTTCTCCCATCAAAATACAGCGAATGGTGATAACCCTCCGAAGTACTGAGTGCGATAATATTAAGAAAAATATTTGTTTGTTGGGATGACCTAGTTGACGATAAACAAAGATATGTTAGAGTGCTGTTGTATAATTCAGAGTATTTAGAACAAAATACTCTAGTTTGTGTTGTATATATATATCTCTCATACATTAATTTTTGTTGTTCCATTATAGAACTTAGGGTAGTTTATGGTTCTCTTTTATTTCAGTTCTTGTAGAGTGTTTCTACTAATTTTCCTTTACGTTGGCTCTGATTTGGCGTTGAAAAACAATATATTAAAGTCTGGTTCTGAGTTATGAACTGGGTTCTTGTTGCACTCGGTGCTTGGGTCAATATAGTATTGGCACGGAGGTACGAAGCCTGAATAATAGAAGGGACCAATTATATGAAATTATGAATTAAAATTCATCCAAGAAATACATAAGCATGGTAAATAGTCTATTGACAATGTTAAGAATTTATCGTCATTGAATTATAAATAAATTAGGACGTTTGGTTGGAGAAAGATTTTTTTTATCATGATTCTTCGTAATTACAAATTTTAAGAATCATAATTTCTAAAAATTACTAAATGAATAGTAGTTTAAAGGCTTAAATATGCTTTTTATATATATAATTTAATTTTTTCATTTTTCTTCATTAATTTACTTTTGAAAATCATTTTTTTAATCCAAACATTTTATTTTTTCATCCTTGGCATAGAAGTTTATTATAAAATTGTAAACTTAATGACATCATCATATGTTGTGTGTAACATCTTTTACTTTGCATATATGTATAACATATATTTAGGGTGAGAATATTAAAATTTATGCATAATTAACAAAATATAAACTCTAACATAAGGTAAAGAAAGCACAACAATATTTCAAAACAAAGTCATAATTTGGAGAAAAAAAAATTAACTCTAAACATGAGTCTTATTATAATCATAATGTGAAAAATAATCATAATCTAAATATAAGTATGGGATATCACTAGGTTAGTAAGAAACTTTTTACTCTATAGCTCATAGTATGAGATAAAAGACCTATAGTTACATAGGAAATATATTACTAATTCTACAATGTCATATGCAAGTAATTCATTCTCAATTTATTATATATACATTCTCAAGAACAACATATAATCACATGTAATATGAAATGCAATAGATATGAATTACGGTTTGCATGTGCGTGACATCAATTGCAAGATATGCATAATGCATATATAATGATTTATCGATTTGTCAATTTATATGCATATGATTTGCATGTCACAAGAGTCTCTGTCATATATTATCACAATGATCATATTCACGATTTACCTAACATTCAATTTGTCTTATATTAGTCAAGTATATCATTCCACACATGTATCAAGATCATTCCTAAATCACTCACATTCATCAAGTAATGAAATCACTAAACTATTTCCCTTCATACAACACATACATCAAACAAACATTGATACACAAAACTAATTATAAATAATCATAATTATAATTATAGGAGTAGAAGAATCATAAGGAAGATTAAAATTCAAGAACAAAAAATACTCAGGAAAACCCTCCTCATACAAAACATATATCAAACAAACATCACTACACGAAATTAACCATGAATAATCATAATTACAACAATTATTGGAGTAAAAGAATCATAAGAAAGAGTAAGCTTCAAGAACAGAAAACATTTGGAAAAGCTCTTTTTATACAACCCATACATTAAATATACTTCAATACACAAAATTAACCATGAATAATTATAATTAACAATTATAGGAGTAGAAGAATTATAAGGAAAGCTAAAATTTGGAAACATAAAACATATGTAAAAACTCCTTTCATACAATGTATATTCCTCTTTAACTTGTTCGGTATTGAGCGAAGAAAATGGGTCTCCAATGTGATCTCATGTAGCTCATCTTCTCCTTGGTTCTTCAAAGCATAATTTCTTAACCTTAATGGGTATTATATTTTCCTTCTTCTCAATTAATAAAAATAATAAAATAATAATAATACTAATATAAAATAATATATTATATTTTGATCCTCATATAATTAATTAAAATAAATATCCAAACATTTAAATTTAATATCAAAACACTATAAAATCAACCCATTTAATTTTAGAATAAAAGATATATAATTAATTTAATTTAAAAAATTCGGTGTTAGGTTATGTTGGCAAAAGATGATGTAATGATAATGTCATCATGTACTAAGTTAGAAAGTTGGGCCTATGTTAGCAGTGATATGTCATTACTTGTCACTTTTTCTTAATAAAAAGGTTCAAAATTAAGAAAAATTAGAGTAGATTCGAAAATAAGAGTGTATATGTTGATTTTTGTTTTCATTTCTTATTTATATTTTTAGCTTTTAGTTTTGATTTATAAAATTATCATCTTATTCTCAATATTTTTTTATATCTATTATATAACATTTTGTTTTTCATAAAATAAATATAATACAAGTGTAACAGTATAATTTATTATATTAGCTTTAACTAATTTAATTAGTGGGCTTTTTAAATAAATTCAGGGTGTTTTTTTAGAAATAAAATAAAATAAAATGACGGGCTAAGTGTGGATTATGTTGTACTTGAGTAACTATTGGGTCTAAACTCTAAAAGCAAAACTCATTAGCTTAGCCTATGAGAATAGTGAGGGGTTAGTCTTCATATGTATTAGTTTTTGTTTTTAGAGTTCCTAACGCTTGAGAGAAAGCTTGCAAAGGAGACATTACAGGAAAATCTAAGGGAGCAAATTTTGGGGACTTGAGACCACACCCTCTGCATTAGAGATTAATATCTGAGGTGTCGTATAAGGTATGAGGGATAGTGAAATTATTACATATGAGAGCATGTTAAGAAATATGGTAGTGGAATTGTCCCTAAATCCCTTAAAGTGTGTTTGGATGAAGAATTTAAATGGAGTAATTCATTTATTTGAAGAATTTTAAATTCTTTAAGGTGAAATACCTTGTTTAGATCGAGAATTATAAAAAATTTAAAATTTAAGCATTTGTGAAATTTTTTGAAATAGTGAAATTTCAAATTCTTTCAAAAAAGTAAAAATTTGAAATTCCTCATATTTTTTTTCTTCTTAATTCACTTATTGTTATAAAAGGAAGAAAAAGTATAGAGAAGAAATGAGACAATATGAGATAGAGAAAAGAATCTGACTGGTGTATTATCTTTGGGAGAGGAGTAACCTATTTATAAGTACATGTGGTAACTGAACAATTACACAATAAAGAGAATAATACATAACGGACATATAAATGGTAATGATTGATAATGAATATTGGCATCCACTAATTAAGCCACTAATTATTATTCATAACACTTATATATTTTATCTTATTTCTTATCTCTTTATGTTTTTAATTATTGAATATTCAAAAATATTTGTAAAATTATTAAATATATAAAAATTAGTTAATATTCATTTTTATAAAATTTAATTTAACAATTTTAACATATAAATATATTTTTAAAATTAATTTTACCATGGTAGAATGAAATTATCATATCAAACCTAATAATTTAAAATTTAAAAAATTTGAATTGATTTATCCAATCGAAATATTTTAAGAATGATAGAAATTGAAATCAAAGTAATTCAAATACAAAAAATTTAAAATTCTTTGAATTTGTAAAATCCCTCACCCAAACACACCATTAGAATTTTGATACATGTGATTAGAAGGGAAACAAACACAACAAAGGAGTGTTGATAACATGATTGATTGTTTATTATATGAATTTGTTATTCATTTGTTGGAGTAGTGTTAATTATACGTATTTACCTTTTTTGGTGGTTAGGGTTTGTATGTGTGATTTGAGGGTTTCCAATTGAGTTTTTGTGCATGAATTGTCTTTAATTAATTTGAGTTATTGTTCATTATAAAGTAAGGAAATAGTACTGGTTTGGTTTTCAAGTCATGATTATGTAATGTGCATTGATTTTCTAGGTTGATTCGCTCAATGAGATGAAACCTCATTCAACAAGCCTTTATAGATTAAAAGCCGAAGGGAAACATCGAGTTTTTGGCTTAGGGAGACGAACGTTGCTAAGCAAAAATGACAAATAATGAGTGTTGGTTGAGCAAGCCATTGTTTGCTAAGCCAAAGCATCAAGTGTTTTTGGATCCTAGTAGTTAACTCAGTGAAACTACTTGACTAAGTAAGTTTAAGTCTCTATGGGTCTATTTAGGAGATTTATTCAACGAATTTCAGTCATTGTGATAAGTTTCTTTTGAATCACTAATTAAGTGTAGGTATTCATTTAGCAAGAGTTGACCTTTTGTGAGTTAGTCATTTTAATTTGTTCAACAAGGAGAGTCTCATTAAGTGAATTTATGTTTTTGTAGTGGAGTTTGCTCAACAAAGTTGTGTCACTTAATGAATCTCTAATTTTGAGTAGAATGTGTTATTGTCCCAATAAAGGTGTTCTGAACTTGAAAAATTGTTGAGGTAATCTAGTAAGAGTTACTAAATAGATTAAAAAAAAAATACATATAAGAGTTGAAAGGTGAAGTATGACTAATAATCAAATTGTTAAGAGCTAAGAGTTGTGTTAAAGACATTGTCTCGTGAGTTATATGTGTTATTGAACTATATATGTGCTAAGATTTAACTCTAAACTATATGCTTAGTTGTCATAAATTCTTAGCTTTATTTTGTCATTTGTAAAGTCTAGAATTTGTCTAGCCAAGCATTAAGTCTTGGCATTGTCTAGCCTTGTTTCATCTTTATGTTATACTGTGTGCTAGAGTTCATGAATTAATGCAACTTTCATTTGGAGACATTGGTTTGTGAATCCAATTAGGGGGGGGGG